TTTTTTTTTTTTTTTTATAAATTTCAGTTTTGTAGCAGCCAAGTCCTTTTAACCACAGCACCACCAGGGCTCCACTTATAACAAGCTGGGTGACCTTCTGCAATTGAGCTTAACAGCTCTGGGCCTCAATTTTCTCATCTGTGAATAGGGATGAAAAGAATAACAATACCTTACTTCTCAATAAGATGTGAGGAATCTATGGAGAGTGCTTACACCATGTCTGAGACACAGTAAGCACTCAGTAAATGTGAAGTAGTGCCAGGCAGTGTCCCTGACATACGGCATGAAATCAGTAAACGGTGGGTGAATGAATGAATGAATGAGTCTTCCCAAACTCCCTAATTGCAGGTTGGGAGGAAGGTGAGAACCAGCACCTCCGCCTCTCCAGGTTCCACTATTGGTTCCGAGAGACCGCTGGCGCCACCTTGTGGCCATCCAGGGAACAACATGCTCTCTCCCCTACTTCCTACCCTAGGCCCAAGGGTGGAGCCTGAGGACCAAAGTATCCAGACTCCCTGCCTCCCTGCTGCTACCTTGCCACGCCCTGGGCCCAGCAGTGCAGAACCTGGACCCACAGGGCTCCTCAGCGCCTGGGCGAGGGCTGGTCCACCCTGTCAGCCCTTAGCACTCAGTCCTGGGCTGGCAGCTACCAACAACACACAGCAGCTGGGCAGGCTGCCTGGGTTTAAGGCCTGGCCTGGCCATATTACTGTGTGACCTGTGGCAAGTTCCTTAACCTCTCTGGGCCTCAATTTCCTCTTGTGTATGATGAGGACTATACCAGTGCCTATCCCGTGCAGTGGCTATGAGGACTAAATGAATTCAATCGTAACACAGGGAGCAGAGGCTCAGTTGTGGTGGTGGTTGGTGAATCACCACAACATTATAGTCCATTATCATCATTAATACTAAGGAGCCCTGGTGGCGCACATGTTTAAGTGCTCGACCACTAACCAAAAGGTTGGTGCCTCAAACCCACCCAGAAGCTCTGAGGAAGAAAGACCTGGCAATCTGTTTCCATGAAAATGACAAGCCTATGAAGCCCTATGGGGCAGTTCTCAGTCACATGGGTCACTATGAGTTGGAATCGAATCACCACCATACAACAATTTATTATTATCACTAAAGATATTATTAGTCCCCCTTGATAAGATGGGCTCTTCCAGGTGGAGACAGGCACTAATTCAGTTCCCCTACCGCACAGCTGTAGAGGAGCCCACCAGCTACTGGAGGGAGAACATGAGGCAGTAGTCCTCCATAAGGATTAACAGCCTAGGAAACCCTATGTGCAGTTCCACTCTGTCCTCTAGGGGCGCTGTGAGTCAGAATTGCCTCCAGGGCAGTGGGTTTGGTTTGGGCTTTGCCTCTGTAAAGACTGACAGCCTAGGAAACCCTCTGAGGCAGTTCCACTCTGTCCTCTAGGGGCGCTGTGAGTCGGAATCCACTCCATGGCAGTGGGTGTGGTTTGGGCTTTGCTCCCATAAAGACTGACAGCCTTGGAGACCCTGTGGAGCAGTTCCACTCTGTCCTCGAGGGGCGCTGTGGGTCAGAATTGATTCCAAGGCAGGGGGTGTGGTTTGGGCTTTGCTCCCATAAAGACTGACAGCCTAGGAAACCCTGTGGTGCAGTTCCACTCTGTCCTCTAGGGGCGCTGTGGGTCAGAATTGATTCCAAGGCAGTGGGTGTGGTTTGGGCTTTGCTCCCATAAAGACTGACAGCCTAGGAAACCCTGTGGTGCAGTTCCACTTTGTCCTCTAGGGGCGCTGTGAGTCTGAATCGCCTCCAGGGCAGGGGGTTGGGTTTGGGCTTTGACTCCATGAAGATTACAGCTGGGAAGCCCCATGGGGAAGTACTACTCTGTCCCACAGGGTCTTCAGAAGTCGGGATCAACTCGCCCGCAGTGGGGTGGGGGCAGCACGCAGCGGACGCTGCGTAAATGTGCTGACAGATCCAGAGCCTGCCGCCTTCACTGTCTTCGCTCTTTCATCCCCTCGTTTTCACCAACACTGCCGCTCACCACAAGCCCTTTGCATAAGCTGTTCCCTCTGCCTAGAACCCCCTTCCCTTACCAGGCAGGGTCAGGCCCAGCCCTCTGCGGCTCTCCTAGTCGCGTCCACTCCGGATCATCATTGTCTGGGGGCAGACCTGCCCCCCCCACTGGTCAGTCTGCGAGCCCCCCCCTCCGGACAGAAGCAGGGCCGTCACTCACCACTGTGTCACCAGCTCCACAAGGCGGAGCGCACAGGAGCGATTCAGAGCAAGCATGGGTCAGTAAGAGACAGCCGGTCTCCACAGTGCAGGCCACGCCCCCCCAGGTGTCTGCCCCGCCCAGACTCACTGCTCCCGTAGGTGCCAGATCTCAGCCTCACGGGTGTCCCGAACCTCCTGGCCGCCCAGCCCTCGAAGGCGGCCCAGCTCCTCCTTCAGTGAGCGGATGGTACCCTGCAGGACCACAGGGTCCGGCTTGCCCTGGTACGGGAGGGGCAGCGGGTAGTGAATCCTGAGGGGAGGGGATCAGAACCGCGGCATCTCAGAGACCAAGGGGCCACCCGAGGGCAGCCACCAGACTCTGAGAGCCCTAGAGTATGAAACGCACAGTTCCCCAAACCTCACGTTCCTAGACGCTACATTCCAAGCGCAGCCTCGGGCCCCCTTCTGCGCCTCCATGCCCCTCTGCCAGTCTGCGCCCCTCAGACCCTCCTATGTGGCCGTTTGGGAGCCATCAGGATTGAAGGCCTGGGTGCAGCCTGGAAATATTTCCTCTCACACAGTGCTAGGGGGCGTGAACACTGGCATCATGCTACCTGCAGCCAAGAACACCCCTAATTCAGATTCCCCCGTGGGAGACTACTTGGCCTGAGTCACCCCTGGCTGGGGAAAGGTAAGGCACCTGATTACCTGTCCCAGCGGATCATATTCACAGAGGATTGATAACTTCCCACTAGAAAAGCCAGGAGCTTTCGGCAAACGTGGCAGAAATTCCCTGGCTGCCCACCAGACACCCTCAGCTCCCTTCTCCCTTGCTGCCTCCTACCATTACAGCTAGAAACACAAACACTCATCTTCCCAGACCCTCTTTGTAGCTAGGGAAGGCCATGTGACCACTGCTGGCCAATCACACCACAGGAAATGTGTTGGGGAAGGGGCTTTAGGGAAAGCTTTTGTTTTCCTGATTTCAAAAAAAAAAAAAAAGCAGTTGCAATTCTTGGGCACAGCCCTGTCCTTTTGCTGGCCTTGATACAGATCTGATGCCTGGAGGCACAGCAGCCATTTTGGGACCATGAAGAGATCAAACCAAAGCAAAAACCAAACTCACTGCAATCGAGAGTGGATTTGACTCATGGCAACCCCTCCTTGGGTTTCCAAGGCAGTATCTCTATGGAAGTAGATCGCCCAGTCTTCCTTCCGAGGAAGGCTGGCGGGTTTAAACCACCAGCCTCTGGTTAGCAGTCAAATGCCTTAGGCACTACGCCACCAGAAGAGATAAGTTGAGGCAAAAAAGCCAACACGTTAAGGATGGGAGAGGGAAGAGAAAAGAGCCTGTGTCTCTAATGGAATCGCTGAGACACCTTGCTGTGTGAGAAGGACACAGTGTTATTTGTAGAAGGCACCGGTACTTGGCTATTCTGTCATGAAATAACACAAACCCAGCACCTAGGATTCCAGAGGTAATGCGTAACCAACATCCCCGCCTTGCCCTGGGTGCCAGGGGTTCCTGAGGTCTCCCGTGTCCTCAGACTCAGCCCAACCGCTCAGGCCTGGAGCCAACCCTTTGTCCCCACCTGTCAAATTCCACGGAGTAGATGAGGATCAGGTAGCGCTTGGAGTTGAGCTGGGCCGATCGTGGGGCCAAGGGGCCCGGGCGGCCCCCCATCTTGCGGTTCCGCAGGGACTCCAGGTCTGTGTAGGTCAGCAGGTCGAGGGTGACCGACTCGCTGCTCTGTCGACAGAGGAGGGGAGGAGCTGCCAGAGGACCCGACGTGGACACGCTGAGCACACAGCCCACATGCCCTGGCCAGGCCCTGTCCCGTCTCCAGGCTGGCTGGGCTTACCAACGCTGAGGCTGCGGGGTGACCGGCATGGCCCTGCCCCAGGGCCCAGCACAGGGACGTCATCAGAGGGCGAAACTCGCAGGAACCCAGATGCTCAACCATGGGGTGCAGCTTAGAGCTGTGGTCCTCCAAGTGCTGAGTGCAGACCCCTGGGGCCCCGAGTCCCTTTCGGGGAGTCCATGAGGCCACAGCTATTTTCATCATCATGTTAGACATTGTTTTTCTTTTTGCCTGTGTAGAAGTCATGGTGGGAGCTCTGGTAGCATAGTGGCTAAGACACTTGCCTGCCAACCAGACGGCTGGCGGTTCAAACCTACCAGCCACTCCTCGGAAGGAAGGTTGGGCAATCCTACTTCCGTAGTGATACTGCCTGGGAAACCCAAGGAGGGGTC